CCCTTGCCCCCTCTTCAGCAACATAAACGCTTCACGTCTTTATCCCACTCCCTCTCTCTCTCTTCCTAGTAGGCCATTTTCCTCAATATGCAATCAATTAAGCGATATTGCATCTCCCATTTGAATGCATATGGAAGAGTCCATTCGTCAGCACACCCCCTACATAAAGACAAGAACGACAAGATAAGGTAGTACCTACGAATTACTCAGAACAACAAGTACAACCACATTAAACTATCACAGCCTTCACTCACTCACTCAATCGTTCACTCATACCTCAGTCAATCACATTAATTGGAGAAAACAAGTATTACAAACAACAGGGAACACCACCATATCCGTTCCAAACAACAATGTACCATGCTCTCTCTCTCTCTCAATCTCTTAGATACATCCATCATCAATTTCGTGCTTTCCTCCCCCCTTTTCATCACCTGAGCAATTCACGATCAACAGAAACAAAGGGAGAAATCAAGGCCAGGGGCTCATCATCATGTTTCTTCAGACATAAAAAATCCCTTCCCGCCCCCATCCCATCCCATACATGTCCCTCGGTCCTTTTCTTCCCCCCTTGCCCCCTCCCTTCTTTCTTCCGCATGTGGGCGTTAAACCAACTGGCACTTTTCGGAATGGCACAGGCATCGCGTCCATAATTTCCCTCGCGGCCCCCTTTTGCGCCGACAGATTGATGACCATCAACTGTGTCCTTTTTCTTCCTCTTCTCAATTCCGAGCCACGCATCATTAAGGATTTGGAGCACACACCAAAGGGGACATTAGAAGAAGTTATAAACACAATCATGAATAAAAAAGTCATGGTGAATCCCTAGTCCGGAATACAGTAGAAAATAGTAAGAAAAACAAGGAGAAATAAGAAAATGCACCCTCACTCTCCTCCTTTCTGAGGGAGGCCACATCTGTCCACTCGTTTGGTCAAATGGTCTATGGGGCAAAAGGTATCGCGGTGAAATGCGTGCTCAAACTTTTGGTGAAACGTTCGCATCAAAGCCTTGTAAATGCAAGAAAAGAGGAAAGCCACAGCCCCGCCGAGTCTATTCCCTCCCCCAAAAATGCAAAGACACCGAGAACAAAGAAAAGCGTCACGTCTTTTTTTATTCATTGTCCTTCTTGTCCGTGGCGGGAACCGCCTTGGCCATGAGGGGCGAGGGTCCAGCAGATGGGGGGGAGGCCGGGTGACCATCATCCATAGTGGCTAGCAAGCTGCACAGAGAAACACAATAATCAGTACGAGATGTTGGTGCGACGAGGAGGAGTGGTTCATGCTTACCTAAAGGCATTAGAGCTTGTCGGCCCGGGGGTTCCAGCACGAGACGAGCTGTTGGAGTCATCGCCAGGACGACCGAGAGCGCCACCAGGTCCGAACCGCCGTCCGCTGTTGCTACGAGAGGACAACATTGACGTAGGACCCAGAGTGACGTTTGAGCTTGACGTCCTGTTGACGGACGAGCCCTTGAGACGTCGGAGGTCGTCCATGCCCACCTGGTTGCTGGGCTGGTTGAAGCTTCCGGAAAAGCCTCGAGCATCGCCGCGACCGACAGGGGGTCGGCCACCACCAGGGCCGCCTCGCTGGCTCGTTCGCGCCGCTTCCTGAGCCTTGGCAGCTGATTGAGCCTCCGCCTAAGTTGACTCTGGTTAGTATGATGCGTAAAACTCAAAGAGAGCGAGAAACTTACTTCGGCGCGGACTTCTTCCAATGTCTTGGGGCCCTTGTTGCTATCCTTCGAGACCCAGCGGGCTTTTCGGAGGTCAATAACATCCATGAGCATAAACCTCATACGGCTCTGAAGCTCGGGCAGATCGGCCATTCCCTGGATACGCTGGAAGTAAATGTCCATCAGAGGACGGCCCTTGTCCGTCTCGTCGAGGTTGGCACCAATAGTGCGCAGCAGCTTGCAGAGAGACTCGATTTCGGCCTCGTCGGGCATTCCCTTGTAATCGACAAGCTTGGTGACACACTCGTGCATAATGCGCTCAGTAAGCATGCCCAGCTTGAACAGCTCTCCGATGAACTGGACGAGACCAAGGCCTCGTCGCTTGGCGGCGGCGGCGGCGTAATACTCGTCAGAGAGCATGGTCGCCTCTGCCGACTTCTTCTCGCCCTCCTCGGTGGCCGCAGGGGCCTCGGGCAGGTTGGTCGTCCAGCCACGCTCAAACTCCTTCTGGCATCGGTTGAGGAGGTACTTGCGGAAGAGGTTGCCGCCGCTGACCACGTTGCCGTTCTTGTCCTTGATGTTCTCGTCCCGGATGTCAGGGCTCATGGTCTCAAGCATGCGCTTGCAGAACTTGGCATACATGGAAGCCCAGTGGGCTTCGTCGGTGGCCTTTTCAAAGGTCAGCTGGATGACCTGGCGCAGTGTCCGCCCATCGGTCTCATCCTTGGACTGTGAGGCAATGGTCAAAATCTGCTCCGAGATACGCTCGAAGTTGTCCGGCGTCATCTTGTTGAGGGCAGCCTTGACCTTGCGCTGAACCATTTCCGGGTCCATGTGCTGGCCAGGTTGAGGAGTGGCCGCAGAGGGCGCCTTACCCAGGCTGCTGGCCTTCCATCCAGAGGCCGAGACAGTGATGGGCTTGACCTCCATGCCGGCCGTGAGAGGCATGGTCTTGGCAGCCTGGGCCTCCTTGTTGCCCATGTCGTTGCGTCGGCTGCCGCGGGTGGATCGGCTGGACTGGCGTGGGGAGTTGGGCAGGTTGTTGCGCATGTTCTGAGAAGAGGTGCGGGACATGGACGACGATGAAGGGAAGGCAGCGCCGGGACGCTGGAACGACGCCATCGGGTTGACCTGCGGCCGCGGCAGGGCGCCGCTGGCAATGGCCATGCGGTCGGCGGATGTGGTGCCCGGAGGCAGGGTGCGCCCGCCAGGGACGCCGAACGAGCCGCCGGGGAAGCCTCCTCCTCCACGGGATCCCTGTCTGGCCGAGCTAGGCGTCTGGCCGCGCGATTGAGAGCGGTTGCCATCGCCATCGCCAATCAGCTGCTTAATCTGCTGGTGGAACTGGAGCGAGGGCTGCTCGGTGAAGACCTTCTGGAACTGGAGCAAGAAGGCGGCATCGTACTTGAACGTCTTGCCCTTCTTGGCAACGGCGGCGTTGAGGGCCGGGTTGGGGGACTTGATGCCCTCGGGGTAAATGTCCTGGTCCATCACCTGGAGGAAGCGAGCCGACTTGAGAGACTGCAGCGCGGCGCTGGGCTGAGGAGGCTCCACGGCGCTGGTCTTGATGGGCGCCAGGTTGAGGGCGGCGGGCTTTCCAACTCGCTTCTCCTTCTGGCCGGCAGCGTCACCAGACTTGTCGCCGGTGATGCTAAAGTCGGCGAGCTTGTCGGTAACAGCCTCGACACCGGCAGGCTCGTCCTTCTTGTCCGGGGCGTTGCCGCCGCGCATCTGAGCAAGGGCTTCGGCGACGGAGAGGGACTTTCCAGAGGACTCGGCGGCTTCTCGTCGCCTCTCCTTCTCCTCCTCGAGTCTCTCCATCTCGCGTTCCTGCTCCCGCAGTTTGCGGTCCGCTTCTTCAGCGTTCTTCTTCGCATTGGCTTCCTCGGCCTTCTTCTGGGCTGCCTTTTCGGCCTCCCTCTTCTTGCGGTGCTCCTCCTCCTCAGCCTCACGCTTGGCTTCGGCCTCTTCCATTTCCCGAATGATGCGCTCGAGTTCGTCCTCCGTCGGCTCATCACTCTTGGCGGGCTCCTCCGCTTTCGCAGGGGCCTCCTCGGCCTTGGGAGCTTCGGCAGGCTTGTCGGCAGGCTTCTCGGCAGGCTTCTCGGCAGGCTTCTCGGCAGGCTTCTCGGCAGGCTTCTCGACAGGCTTTTCGGCAGGTTTCTCAGCGGGTTCTTCGGCGGCCTTCTCAGCGGGTTTCTCAGCGGCCTTCTCAGCCGGCTTCTCGGGAGCCGGTACCTCAACCTTGGCAGCTGCCTCGGGTTGGGGCTCGGGCTTTGCCTCCACCTTGGTCTCGGCAGGCTCAGCCTTTGGCTCTTCGGGCTTGACTTCGGGCACCGCCGCCTCAGGCTGGGCCTTGACCTCGGGCTGGGCTTCCGCCTTGGCCTCCGTCTTTGCCTCCACCTTTGCTTCAGGAGCTTCTTCCTTCTTGGCGCCAGCATCCTCAGCGGCTGCTGCCTTGGCCTCCTCCTTGGCCTTTTCGGCAGCCTTTTCTGAAGCAGCTCGGATCTCAGCCTGGATCTTGGCCTTCAATTCGTCCTGAATCTCCTTGGCCGTCTTGTTCGGCGACTGGCTGTCTGTGCGAGCATGGCTGGGCGCATCGAGCTTCTGCTGAGGCGGAGTGGATGCCGCGATGACGGGGGGCGTCCTAGTCTGGTGAGGAACGGGAGAAGCTGGCTGCTTGAAAGTTGAGGTATCAACCACCTCGCCGGCAAGATTCTTAATTTGAACCGCGGCGCTCTTCCTGGGCTTAACGAAGCTGTTGGGGTTGGCTTGGGTGTTGAGGGCCTTGGGGTTTGATGAGACAATGGCCGGCTGGCTGGGCTGGCTGGCGCTGGCAGGTCGCTCAGGCTGTGAGGGTGTTCGGGACATGCTGTGGCTCTGCTGGTGGAAGGTAGGGGGCGCGAACTGCTGGTTGTAAGCTTGAGCACCGGGCTGGGGAGGTCCCATGTAGGGCATGGCGCCGCCGTAGTACGGCACGGTCATGGGCTGGCCGTATTGGTTCATCTGCTGCGGGGGGAAGCCGTAAGTCTGATTCTTCCAAGTTAGCCAAAGTTCAAAGCCTCCGTTTTCAGGAGAAAGATCAAGCGAATTTGGATGGCTGAGGGGAGCGTCGACAAGAGGGACAGAGGGGGGAGAAGGGCCGTCCTTTTGGATTCCACTCGAAATCGGACGCATGTTGTTGTTGTTGTTGTTCTTGTCGTGGTGGACACGCCACGATGTATCTGCACGCTGGCCTTGACTACCAAAGCGACGTTGCTGGTGCTGCTGCTGCTGCCAACCGGCGCTGGTAGGAGGCTGCTCACGCGCGGAGTCCAAGGGATTTGACTGTTCAAAGTGCCTTTCGTACTCACGACGGCTCTTTGACTTTTTGACACTGGGCTTGGAATGCATTTTGGCGGCTACTGCAGGAAAGGGGTACTGTACTTGTACTTGTTGCTGATGAGAAGCCGGGATCGGTGGCGGGTAGTGGTACGCAGGAGCATTCGGCATGGCCATGTTGGGCTGCATCGTCGCCGGGGGCATGTTGGGGGTGCCCGGGAGCGAGGGCACGAGGTTGGCGAGGGCCGGGCTGCGGGCAGGCTGGGGCGAGTTCGGGTAGCCTCGAGGGTTAGGCTGGAACGACGGAGGCATGCCACGGTTTTGGCCAGGAGTTCGGAACTGGTTCTGGGGAGGGAAACCCATCTGGTTGTTGAATTGGGTGGCATGCGGGTTGAACGAGTTTCGATTTCGGTTGTTCTGAGGCCCAAAGTTGCCGCGGCTGCTGTCGCTCTGCACAGAATGGCTCGACTCGCGGCGGAAGTGTGCGCCGGACTGAGAAGCCAGGTTCGGGTTGGGGGGGACGGAGCCCTGTCTCATGTGGCGCTGTGAAGCGTTGCCAGGTTAGCACATGGCCCGCGTCTTCTTCCTGCTGGACAGTACACGACTTGGAAAGCTCTGGGCACAGAGAAGACTAAAAGGGGAGAATCAGGGAGGAATCAAAGCTGGGGCTTACATCGCCATCGCTGCCGAGACTGCCAAAGGTCATCTGGTTCGTCGGCTGCTGCAGGCTGGACGGAGGTCGGCCACCGCTGGCGGAGGGCTGCGGGATAGGGGCCGGAGAGTGCGCAGGCGAGGGCACTCGGTGGTGGTTGTTCGCATCGGGGACGGGAATGGGCGCAGAGTGGCCGACTTGGGGAGTGCTGTGGCCCATGGCGGGCGAGTCGTAGCCGAACTGGATGCCGGCCTTGGCACCGGCAATGGAGCCGCCGTTGGGGACGAAGCCGCTGGGGCCGTTGGCAGCCATGGTGACGGAGCCTTTTCGAAAGTGGTCGGGGCCGGAGCCGTTGAAGGAGCTGCGGGCGACGGTGGGGACCGCAGGAGGGACGGGCTGCTTGCCGTTCACTGGTGAAGGTGACGAGGCAGCCTTGGCATTCTGTGCCGAAGCCGTAGGGGCAGAAGAGCCGACCACCAGGGGGGGGTTCGA